CGAGATATGTCACCCGCGAGCCGATCCGTCGGTTTCACCTTCTCGCGTCGAGAGCTGGCGAACTGGCGAACTTTTCGGAGCCCCCCCCCGAGCGCACCAGGCATCTGGTGCCACGAACCAATCGATATATTTTTGTTTGAGGGGGGGAGGAGAGCCTCCAGAGGCCCTGTTTCGGGGTCCTCGCGCAATGAAAAAATCACACAAGATAAAAACCGTCACTGGGTTCATGTCATGAACAATCACGGCTTTTGAGTGCTGGATTTGTTGCAACCTTGCTTTCAGAATTGCGACTTTTCGCTCGTTACCCACATCCTAAGTGGGGTTCTTGTTTTCTCTGAACACCCCCGTGCAGGAACAGGACCACACCCAAGGAAGCATCGCCATCACCAGCACCACCACCACCACCATCATCACCATCACCATCACTATCATTATCGTCCTTATCATCCTCACCATCTTCATCTTCAGGTTCATTATCCTGTTTATCTTCACCTTTATCTTCGTATCCATCTTTATCTTCGTCTCCATCTTCTTCTTCATCGTCATCGTCGTCGTCGTCGTCGTCGTCATCATCATCATCATCATGTTCTCCTTCTTCTTCTTCTTCTTCTTCTTCTTCTTCTTCTTATTTTTCATCATCATCTTTGCAGACACACTCACACGCTCACTCAGTCACTCACGCACTCATACGCTTATACGGAGGAAATGTCGAGCGAGATCCTCGTCCGTGAGTGCATTGCGAGGAAGTCTCGAGCGGGAGCCCCCTCACCTACGGGGCCCGCAGTTCATCTCGTTAATCCGAGCTACTCGTTCGAACCTTGCAGCTGTCGTCACTTGAAGGGGTCTCGGGCGGGGGCCTTGTCTGTGAGTGAATTTCGAGAAAGTCTTAGGCAGCAGCCCCCTCCCTGTGGGGCCCGCAGATCATGCTATTAATCCGAGCGGGTTTTTCGAAACCTGCAATTGTCCTCGGTTTGTGCCGCCGATCATGTCATTGATCCGAGTGGGTCGTTCGAAACCTTGTAGCTGTCGTCACTTTGGGGCCCCCGATGTTTGACTCTTGAGGAAGTCTCAGGCGGGGGCATTGCCTGTGAGTGAATTCCGAGGAAGTTTCAGGCGGGCGCCCCCTCTCTATGGGACCCGCCGACCGGGTCATTCGAACCTTGTAACTGTCACCACTTTTGGGCTTCCGAGTGTTGAATCTTAAGGGAGTCTCAGGCGGGGGCCTTGTCTGTGAGTGAAGTGCGAGGAAGTCTCAGACGGGAGCCCCCTCCCTATGGGGCCCGCAGATCATGTTATGAATCCGAGCGGGTCGTTCGAACTTTGTAGCTGTCGTCACTCATGCGCTCATGAGACGAGCGTGCTGATCATCTGGCCGATTGTGGCGCCAATGGGATCTTATGTGGCCCTGCTGATGTCCATCGCTGGGCTGACCTTCCTGGCTAACCCCTTTGCTGTTCGAGGATTGGCAGCCACAGTTCAGTTTCGACATGCGCTCATGAGGCTGGGACTTGCAGCGAATAGCCCGGCCAGCTGCAGAGACCAGCCGAGACCATCCAAAGGGCAGCAGCGAGCAGCAGAGGGCAGCAGAGACCAGCATAGGCCAGCAGAGACCAGCGGAGAACCGCAGTGGGCAGCAGTGGCCAGCAGAGAGCAGCTCCAGACTGGATGAGTATGGGGCGCTTTCGGCCCTCAAAGGGTTTGAAGTGGGCGTTCGGCCCTCAAATGGCTTGAAATGGAATCGCTCTCGTCCCGTCTCCACTTCCTTCCTCTGTTCGTTCCTTCTTCTCCCCTCCTATTCCTCCTCCTCCCTGAGACCAGCAGAGACCAGCAGAGAGCAGCGGAGACCAGCTGAGAGCAGCAGAGCTCTGCAGAGACGAGCAGAGAGCAGCGGCGAGCAGCAGAGACCGGCCGAGACCAGCAGAGACCAGGCTGTCTGAGGCCTCGGAGAGACGAATTATATTTTCACATGGGGTCCTACCGTCGGAGCATTTGTTTGGAATCATCTCCTTCTTCGTGAGCCTCCCGTATCTTTCCGTGGTGGGCTGCTGGTTTTCATGTGATATACCGCATAGACCACCCTTCGGGTGATAAGGAGGTGAGGGGGGGGAGGGACCAACGTCGCACTCGATTGATCTCACTATCGAACTCACTACCGATCTCACAATCGATCTCAATCGATAGATCTCACAATCGATCTGACTATCGATCCCACAATCAATCTCACAATCGATCCCACAATCGATCTCACATTCGGTCTCGCTATTGATCTCACAATCGATATCACAATCGATCTCGCATTCGATCTGACTATCGATCTCACTATCAAACTCACTATCGATCTCATTATCGATCTCACATTCGGTCTCACTATCGATCTCACTATCGATATCACAATCGATCTCACAATCGATCTCGCATTCGACCTCACTATCGATCTCTCTATCGAACTCACTTTCGATCTCATTATTGATCTCACTATCGATCTCACTATCGATATCACAACCGAACTCACAATCGATTTCACATTCGGTCTCATCATCGATCTCACTATCGAAAGCACTACCGATCTCATTACCGATAGTGATCTCACTACCAACTCAATTGATCGATCTCACAATCGATGTGACTATCGATCTCACAATAGATTCCACAATCGATCTCACATTCGGTCTCACTATCGATCTCACCATCGATATCACAATCGATCTCACAATCGATATCCCATTCGGTCTCACAATCGATCTCACTATCGATCTCATTATCGATCTCACATTCGGTATCACAATCGATCTCACAATCGATCTCACAAGCGATCTGACATTCGATCTCACGTTCGATCTCACAATCGATATCACTACCGATCTCACTATCGATCATCAAAACAAAACATCAACATCGTCATCATCATCACCATCATCATCATCATCATCATCATCATCATCATCATCATCATCATCATCATCATCATCATCATCATCAATATCATCACCATAATCGGGACACCGACGGGGCACCGGCGGGACACCGCGGGCCCCCGGTTGCCCGGAAGGGAATCATTTGGTCCGGCCGCGCCTTAGCCACACGGGACACCAGCGGGACACTGGCGGGACACCGCGGGCCCCCGGCCGCCCAGAAGGGAGACATTTGGTCCGGCCGCGCCTCAGCCACACGGGACACCAGCGGGACACCGGCGGGACACCGCGGGGCCCCGGCCGCCCGGAAGGGAATCATTTGGTCCGGCCGCGCCTCAGCCACAGGAGACTTTCTCTCGCCCGCCCACACAGCTTCGCCTCGCCCGCACGCACGGCACGCACGATCACGAAACCGAAATCGATTTCCCGGTAGGGGGGCTCTCCGTTCCACTTCGATCTCACCCTCTCACCTCCGATACATATATATATATATACATATTTATATACACATGTGTGTGTATCTATATACATATATATGCAATTTTATATGTATGTATGTATGTGTATATATATATATATATATATATATATAAATACACATGCACGCATACACTGGGGGACAGGGCTGGTGACTCCCAGGGTGGCCCCTCGACGCGCCATGGGGGCCCCGTGCTGGGATCGCGCACGGAGACTGAAGACGCCCCCAAAGCCCCCAAGAGCTCCAAGAGCGGTCCAAGAAGCCTCCAAGACAGCCCAAGAGCGCTCCAAGACGCCCAAGATAGGCCCCAAGAGGACCCCGAAGACCGCACCAAGACGGCCCAAGAGGCCCCCAAGAGGACTCTCAAGATAACCCCAAGACCGCACCGAGACGGCCCAAGAGGCGCCCAAGAAGACTCTCAAGAGGGCCCCACGATGCAAAAATCATTGATTTACCATTTCACGTCATCGCCTTTTCGAGGCGCCCAAGAGCGCTCCGAGACGGCCCAAGAGGCCGTCAGAGGGTCCCCAAGACTGGCCAAGACGGCCCCAAACGGCCCAAGAGGCGTCCAAGACGGCCCAGGAGAGCTCCAGGACGGCCCCAAGAGGGGCCCAAGCGCGCGCCGGGATCTCGCTTGGGAGGCTGAAGACGCCCCGAGAAGGCACCGAGCGAGCTCCAAGAGCGGTCCAAGAAGCCTCCAAGACAGCCCAAGAGCGCTCCAAGACGCCCAAGATAGGCCCCAAGAGGACCCCGAAGACCGCACCAAGACGGCCCAAGAGGCCCCCGAGAGGACTCTCAAGAGTGCCCCGCGATGCAAACATCATTGATTTACATTGTGTTTTGCCACGTATTTCACGTCACCGTCTTTTCGAACTTCCCACGTCTCCAAGACAGCCCCAGAGGCGCCCAAGACCGCTCCAAAACGGCCCAAGACGGCCCAAGAGTGGAACACGAACCTTCAAATCGAGCGTTCCGCCCCAAGACGCCGCCCAGGAGGTCCCATGATGCCCCCAAGAGGCCCCACGAGGCCTCACGAAGTCCCCAAGAGGCCCCACGAGGCCCCCAAGAGGTCCACAGGACGCCCCAAAAGGCCTCCAAACAGCCATCAAGAGGTTTTAAAACTGCTTCGTAGAAGCTCTCGACAGGCTTTTTACGATGCCCCTACGAACATCCACGAGGCTTCTAACCCACAACCCAAGCACGGTGGTGGGATGGTCCGTCTGCCGCTAGACAATAATGGTACTAAAGATTTCCCCTCCTCTTGAGCCTCTCTGGAGAGGCCTCGTGGAGACATCTTGGAACGTCTTCGAGGTCTATTTGGCCGTCTGGGAGCCACCCTGGGCGTCTTGGAGCGACCTTCAGGCGTTTCGGGACCCTCTTGGAGCGTCTTTTCTCTCTCTCTCTCTCTCTATTGGCGCTTCCTGGCTCCGTTTTCTACGCCTCCGGAGCCCCTCAAGCGCCCCGGCATCCAAATTTGTGGTCGACCTTCTGGCCCAGGGGCCATCACCCAGCGCGCTCAAAAAACGCTCTTCTGGAGCACGTTCTCGCCCCCCTCTCTCGTGCGTCTCGTCTCGGAGCCGCTTCTTTCCCAAATCATTTCCTCAGGATCCCTGGCGCCTCCATTCTGACAGCACCGCTTTCCACCCTCCCCAGACCGCTCCAAGAAGGCCCAAGAGGCCCCTCCGTGCCATTTTGGCTCAAGCCGTGCGGATCAAGTCCCACTCGGTTCACAGTCTTACCGTACCTTATTTTTGCGCTATTAGACAGAGTGTCAGCGTCGCCCCAATGGCAATCAAGTGTTGGCTCCCCGTGGTTCTCGGGCTGCGTAGAGTTTCTGGTCTGCAGCGGGCGACGAGCGTGCCAAACGGCAGTGCCGTGAGCGATGAGGAGGCGGCGGCGGGGTTGAATCGCATCAGCAGCAACATCAGCAACGGTGCCACTTGTGCTGTGACGATGTATCAGCATGGCTGTGGCGGTGGCTTCTCTGCCACATACGGGGTCGGTTCGCATGGTTGGGTTGGCAGCAGCCATAACGACCAGTATTCATCTCTGTACATCCATTCGGACGCCTGTCGCGTGGTGATCTACGAGCACTCAAATTTTTACGGCTGGGCTTGCTCCTACGAGGGCGTTGGTTGTCATGGAGTGTGTGGCAACGATCAAGTGAGCTCATTGAGAGTGTATGACACGTCGACGCCATCTCCGACGCCATACCCGACGCCGTACCCGACGCCATACCCGACGCCGTACCCGACGCCGTACCCGACGCCGTACCCGACGCCGTACCCGACGCCATACCCGACGCCATACCCGACGCCGTACCCGACGGCCTTCCCCACGGCCTACCCGACGCCATACCCGACGCCGTACCCGACGCCATACCCGACGGCCTTCCCCACGGCCTACCCGACGCCATACCCGACGCCGTACCCGACGCCGTACCCGACGCAGTATCCGACGCCATATCCGACGGCGTACCCGACGGCCTTCCCCACGCCGTACCCGACGCCTTTCCCGACGTCCTTCCCGACGCCCAGCCCGACGCCTAGCCCGACGTATCCTCCAGGATGGCCGACGCCACAGCCGACGTTTCCTCCTGGAGCTCCCATGGCGGGCGGAGCTGGCGGTGTGGCTGCCACTGGCGATCCCCACCTGGCAAATGTTCTGGGTCAGAGATTCGATCTGATGAAGCCGGGCAACCATGTTCTGATCAACATCCCTCGTGGAAGGTATAAGAACGTTATGCTTCGTGTAGAGGCTGAGGCGATTCAATTGGGTGGACACTGTGCTGACATGTATTTCCAAGACTTGAACGTGACGGGGTCGTGGGTGGAGGAGAGGCATACCGGCGGTCTCCGATTTCAAGCTCAGGCTGTGCCCGACGGAAGTCCCAAGTGGTTAAAGTTTGGGAAGGTACAAATCAAAGTTGCGCATGGACGCACGCAGCAGGGCACCACTTACTTGAACTTCTACGTCAAGCACCTTGGGCATGCTGGATTCGATGTCGGAGGATTGCTGGGAGAGGATGACCATCAGGAGGCAGCGACGCCCGCGGAGGAATGTGTCCACCGTGCATCGCTTCTTCAAGTATCTGGTCTGAACGAGCACAGTGCGCGCCTCTTCTCCGTCGCAGAGGCAAGCTTTGCATGATGCGCCCTGGCGTCGTCTTGTTGTCGCCACTCCCTCCTCCACTGTTTCCCTCCCCCGTTCTCCTCCTCCTCCTCCTCCTCCTCCTCCTCCTCCTCCTCCTCTCCCTTGGGGCGGGTTGGTGCGTTGGCAATAGTTTTCGCGTGAGGCTATCGCATGAGCCAGCTCGCACGTTCTGCTTGATTCCACATGGATATACAAGTATTTATCCGGGCGAAAGACCCAACCATGCGCAATTGTGAATACCGCGTTGTGGATACCGCTTTCGGTGGAGCTCCATATGGAGCCACGAACCGTGTGAGGGGTGTGCCAAAATGGGCGTCGGGCGAATGCGGCCTGTGCCACTTGGGCCTTCGGTGGAGCTCCCTGTGGGGCCACGAACTGTGTGAGGGGTGTGCCCAAATGGGTGGCGGTTCCCGCATGCGGACCTTGCCACTGGGGCCTTCGGTGGAGCTCACTGTGGGGCCACGGACCGTGTGATGGGTGTGCCTAAGTATGTGGCGGTCACCGCATGCGGACCCTGCCATTGGGGCCTTCCGTGGAGCTCCCCATGGGGCCACGAGCCGTGCGAGGGGTGTGCCAAAATGGGTGGCTGTCTCCGCATGCGCACCCTGCAGCTGTGGCTTTCGGTGGAGCGCCTTGTGCGGCCACGAACTGTGTGAGGGGTGTGCCAAAATGGGTGGCGGTCCCTGCATGCGGACCCTGCCACTGGGGCCTTAGGTGGCGCTCCCTGTGGGGCCACGGACCGTGTGAGGGGTGTGCCTAAATGGGTGTCGATCCCCGCATGCGGACCCTGCTGCCACTGGGGCCTTCGGTGGAGCTCCCTACGGGGCCCCGAGCCATGTGAGGGGTGTGCCAAAATGGGTGGTGGTCCCCGCATGCGGACCTTGCAACTGGGGCCTTCGGTGGAGCTCCCTGTGGGGCCACGGACCTTGTGAGGGGTGTGCCAACAAGGGTGGCGGTCCCCGCATGCGGACCTTGCCATTGGAGCCTTCGGTGGAGCTCCCTGTGGGGCCGCGAGCCGTGCGAGGGGTGTGCCAGATGGGGATGGGCATGCGGAGTGCAGAGGCAAGGGATGGGAGGATGGGGGAGGCGGAGGAGGAGCAGGAGAGGATATGAGAGGAGAGGAGAGGAGACGCGGGGCGCTGTGTCTTCAAAACGAGGACCCAACACCACAGGAAGGTTGGGAATAAAAAGTCATCCTGGCGAAGGGCCCAACCATCTGCAGCTGCGGGTAACGCGTTCTGCGTGCCGCTTTCGGTGGCGCTTCAGTAGGACCATGAAGCGCGTGAGGGACGTGCCGTAATGGGCAGGGGAGACGCATGCGGGCGGTGCCACTGGAACCTTCGGTGGAGCTCCCTATGTGGCCACAGGACGCTGTACTGGGCGTGGCGGACGCATGCGGGCGGTGCCCTTCGCTGGAGCTCCCGATGAAACCACGAAACGCTGTGCTGGGTGGGGGAGACGCACGCGGGCGGTGCCACTGAGGTCTTTATGTGGAGCTCCCTACGGGGCCACGAAGCGTTGTAATGGGTAGTGGCCGACGCATGCGGGCGGTGCCAGTGGGGGCTTCGGTGGGGCCCCCTGTGGGGCCACGAAGCGCTGCACTGGGTGGGGGCTCGCATGCGGGCGAACCACTGGAGCTCCCGACGGGGCCACGAAACGCTGTACCAGGTGGGGGAGGCGCATGCGGGCGGTGCCACTGGGGCTTGGTGGAGCTCCCAATCAATGGGTCCGCTAAATGGAGTATTGGGTGGTGGACGACGCATGCGGGCGGTGCCACTGGGGTCTTTCTGTGGAGCTCCCTACGGGGCCACGAAACGCTGTACTGGATTGTGGCTGACGCGTTCGCGCGGTCCCACTGCGACCATCGGTGGATCTCCATGGTGTACGCTGTACTGGGTGGTGGCTGACGCATGCGGGCGGCCCCTTCGGGACCTTCGGTGGAACTCTCTATGGGACCGCGAAACGCTGTACTGGGTGGTGGCTGACGCATGCGGGCGATGCCACTGGAACCTTCGGTGGAGCCCCTTCTATGGGGCCACGAAGCGCTGTGCTAGGTGGTGGCTGACGCATGCGGGCGGTGCCACTGGGGCCTTCGGTGGAGCTCCCGATGTGGGGCCACGAACAGCTGCACTGGGTGGGTGAATCGCAGGGAGGAAGGGCTATACTGGGTGGTGGTTGACGCATGCGGGCGCTCCCATTGGAACCTTCGGTGGAGCTCCCCATGGGGCCGCGAAGCGCTGTACTGGGTGGGTGAATCGCAGGGAGGAAGGGCTGCACTCGGTGGTGGTTGACGCACGCGGGCGGTCCCACTGGAACCTTCGGTGGAGCTCCATATGGGGCCACGAAACGCTGTACTGGGTAGGTGAAACGCAGGGAGGGGGGCTGTGCTGGGTGGTGGCTGACGCATGCGGGTGGTCCCACTGGGTTCTTCGGTGGAGCTCCCTATGGGGCCACGAAGCGCTGTACTGGGTGAGTGAAACGCAGGGAGGAAGGGCTGTGCTGAGTGGTGGCTGACGCATGCGGGCGGCCCCACTGTGACCCTCGGTGGAGCTCCCTATGGGGCCACGAAGCGCTGTACTGGGTGAGTGAATCGCAGTGGGGAAGGGCTGTGCTGGGCGGTGGTTGACGCATGCGGGCGGCCCCACTGGGACCTTCGGTGAAGCTCCCGATGGGGCCACGAAGCGCTGTACTGGGTGGGCGAAACGCAGGGAGGAGGGAGGAGGGCGGAGGGGGAGGAGGGAGGAAGGAACGCGGGGACCGTCTCTTCACAACGAGGACCCACCACTACAGGATGGTTTGGAAAAACTGCCCAGACCCCAAGGGGCTCCCAAGATTGGCCAGGAGGGCCGCAGAACGGCCCAGTAGGCGTCCAAGACGGCCCAAGAAAAGAGCCCCAAGACGGCCCCAAGAGGGGCCCAAGAGAGGGAAACACGAACCCACAATTCGAGCGTTTCGCCCCAAGACGCCGCCCTGGAGGTTCCACGAGGCCGCCCGAGAGGCCCCGAGAGGCCCCACGAGGCCCGCACGAGGCCCCCAAGAGGCTCCACGAGGCCCAAGATGCCCACAGGACGCCCCAAGAGGCCACCAAACGGCCATCGAGAGACTTCAAATCTGCCTCCCAGAAGGTCCCGACGAGCGCTCCAAAACGGCCCCAAATTGCCCTAAGAGGACTCCAAGACCGCACCAAGACGGCCCACGAGGCCCCCCAAGAGGACTCTCAAGAGGGCCCCACGATGCAAACATACATGGTGTGATATAGTTCAACGTCATCGCCGTTTGAGTGGGCCGGTGCCTGGAAAAGCGACAAGCGGGTGCATCGTGCCCCCGCTCCCCAGGATCAAGACTCCTTTTTGGCATCGCAGGCGCGGCGATCCTCGTCCGCGCGCAGCCTGTGTCGCCCTCGGCGGCTCTCCGGCCACCTCGATTCTTCTCCTCCTCGGGGACCGCACTGGCGGACTACGCCTTGACACCCCACCTCCACCTCTCTCCTCGGACATCGCACTGGCGGACTACGCCCCGGCACCTCACAGCTGCGTTGCCCCTCTAGCGCTGCCTCAGGTCAGCGTCCCCCCAGACTGCTGACAATCCTGCGCTGGCCCGCAGCAGCTCCGCTCCACAGCCTCGTACTCCTTTGGGCGCCGTGCGGCCTCCAGCCGCCAAGGCCTTGTACCCCACGTGCAGGGTCGCCACCGACTTGGCCATGGCCTCTGAGACTCCTGCCGCGTCCTCGCTTGCCTGCCGCAGGTGCTGGTGGAAAGCCCCACTGTTCCACCGCCCCCAGCGCTTCACCAGCTCGGTGTCCTGGAAGCAGTGGTGGAGGGCGGTCGCCCCGCCGATGCGGAGCGAACGGCTCTGGAAGCGGTCCGGCGGGTTACCCTCCAGTGCCGCCGCCTTCTGGAGCAGCTCCTGGATGCGCCTACGTGTGATCGGGCTCCCGTCCTCCCACCTCGCGAGCAGAAGGTGCGCCTCCTTGCCCGTCGAAGTGCTCGGGAACCAGCGGTTGTAGCACTCCGCCGCCCACGCCGGGCAAATCCCCTCGGGGTTGTTCGAGAGGCAGTGGTTCCTTGCCTGTCCTGCTCCTTTCTGGTCCGCCTTCGACGACTTGAACCAGAGGACCACCTCGTCCGCCGCGGCGAAATGGCTGACCTGCTCGCCCTTGCACTTCGGGGCGATGTCCAGCCCCGTCAACACCTTCTTCAAGTCCCAGTGTCCAGAGTGAGCGTTCTTCCCCGACCTGCATCATAAAGAAGAAGGCGAGGATCACGCACAGGTGCATGGCGGCATCGTTCGCGCAGTCGCTCGGAGTCAGCATGCTCCTGATCCGCTTCAGCATCTTGACTGTCACCGGTAGTTTCCTCTGCCCAGGCCCTTGCCATCTCTCGATGCCGTTGAGCGCCATTTAAATGCGGGGCCATCCCGCCAACGGGTCTGGCTCTCCAAGCATCACATGTTGGGAGCGGATGCCAAGGAGCTTGGAGCGGATGGTCCCGTGCGGCCTGTGCAGGCTGTTGTACGAATTGACCATGAACAGCAGCAGCTCCTCCTCATCTGGATGCCGCTCCTCCCGAGAATCCATGCAGCACGGGCGAACGCCGGCGGATACGGCAGAAGGTCGCCCACTGCCGCCAGGCAACTCCATAGGTCGTGCGCGTGCTGCGTGCCACCGAAGCCACCACTGCCTCATCCCACCAGCATCTGGAGCTCTGACCTGCAGTCCGCGTCTGGTCTGCTTCCTGCCCGCCAGGAGTCGTCCCGAGCCTCCTGGCTCAACCGCTGCCCCAGGCTTCAGCTCCCCCGTCCCTGGCCGTCCGTGGCTGCCAAGTACCTGCCGACTGCGTCCTGGTCTATGTCCACGGGCTGCTCCTCCTGGGCCCAGGTCCGCACGCTCGTGAAGCCCAGGCCGCCGTCCCTGAGATCCCCCGTGACCCTGAAGTTCCTGCGCAGGGAGAGAAGGGAGGGCTTCGGCCGCGCCAGCGGCGCACCCGCTGGCGGGAGCGGCGGGTCCCCTGCATAGGCCTCCGCGGGAGCCGCCTTGACCGGGTGCGGGTCCTCGAGGAGGGACTCGGGGAGCGTCCAGGCCGCCCGCCTGGGGTGCTCCGTGCTGGGGTGGCGTTCGACTCCGCCTTCGGGGCCGCGCCTGGCGCAGCTTCCGCGGCCCCAGGTCCTGGCCCCCCCGCAGCTGGGCGTGCCGTGCCGGCTGGCTGCCCCTCTGCCGGCGACGGACCGGGGTCTTCTGGCCATGCGTCGTTCAGCATGCCGCCGTGCCGGTCCCGCGCCCAAAGCGCCTCCATCTCGGTAGTCCGAACTTGGCGTCGCTCCGTGGAGCGGTCGTGTGGCTGCCCCTGGCTCAGGGGGGGGGGTTGTAGGGTGCTCCTCGAGCTGCTCCCCGCCCCGCCCCTCCAGTCAACTGCAGACCTGCCCGCGTTGCCCCTCCAGCAGCGGCGCGCTCTCCCCGCCTCGCGCCGACAGCGGCCCGAGAGCCCGCGGCGCTCGGGGGGCCCACAGGTGCCGCAGAAGACATCCCAGCCAAAGCTCCGGCTACGGTTGGGGAGCGCACGTCGCTGGTCGGCGGTATAGAGTGAGAGCTGGCCAATCTCCGCCGGGCATGACGGTGGAGCCCCTCGGGGAGCTCCCTCCTCTCCTCATCCTCGGGGCGACGGCAGATCTCAGCCGCCCTCGCCCGGGCATCCGCTGCCGCCTTAGCCTGGGGGAGCGCCGCTGGCACCACCCATCGCTGGCCCCGCCGCGGAGCTGCCGGACCTCCTGGCCCAGCAGGGCTCCGACCGCCGGGGGATGGGCCCCTCGCGTCGGAGATCAAGTGCGCCTCCAACGCTGCCGTCTCCTGCGCCCGCGGGGTCGGCGCAGGCCCAGAGGGGCCATGCGCCGGGGCGCCGGAGGTCCCCCAGGCGTTTATGCAATGGTGCCACTCGTTCTGCGATGCGTCGCTGCACCAATCGCCGAAGAGGCTCGAACCGGCCTTGCAGCTCAGATCGCACAGCCTCGACTGCTTGCGCATCCAGCCCAAGCTCGTTCACTATCTCGTCCAAGGACTCCTGCAACAGAGCGTCGATGTCTGCATGCTGCAGCAAAGTGAGCTCTTCTGGCTCGGCCATGCCACCAGATAAAGAATGGACATCGCAGGCGCGCGCCGGGAGGGCTCGGAGGCTATCTTGAGCTGGCTTGGCTTGAGCTTGAGCCAAGTAAGGATTTTCTCCGTAAGGTTTCCTGTAGGAAGTGTTCCTTAGCAACGGGTTCCTGTAGCATGCCTTATCGAGGTTTCCTATAGTAAGGGATCCTTTAGACGTCTCCCTTTGCAGTAGGCGTTTATCAGTCAAGACCTCTTGAGAGGAGTCTTTAGTGCAGATACTTTTCGTAAAGAGTCTGTACTAAAAGGGTTCCTGTGGTAATGCGTCTTTGGTAAGGATGCCTTTGATAAGGAGTCCTTCTCCCGACCCCCACTCTGTAAGGGTGCTTGTAATACGGATTCCGTGGTAAGGGCGCCTTTCGTATGGACTCCTTAACAAATATGCTTATCGAGAGCGATCCTCCGCAATGACCCCTTCAATGAGGAATCCCAAGCAAACACACACGTTGCCAGGAGTTCTTAGTAAGATTTTTTTTGTTTTGGCGCCCTTGCAAATGACACTTTTAGTAAGTGGTCCGTAGCCGTCCGTTCGTAGTACATATTTTTCTCTTTGAGGGGGTTCTTTGTAAGGACGCTTTTGGTAAGGATTCCTTGGTCAGGATGCCATTAGTGAGCGTTCCCCGATAAAGGATTCGTTCAGTAAGGACTCTGTCGACAAGGGCTCCTCCAGTAAGGATACCTTCGCAATTTTTCTTTTACTGCGCGTTCCTTGCCAAGGATGCCTGTTGTAAGCGATCCTTCCTTATAGTGGATTATTCTAACAAGGATTTCATTTGTAACGGATCGTCAAGATTTTGTCCTTCATAGGACGCGTTCCTGCGATATGCTTGCTCGGGGAGTCTTTCGTGACATCGTGGTTGTTCAAGGGTCGTGCGGTCTTGTTTTCTGTGCAGCTCAATCTGCTGCTAGTCGTGCGCGCTACATTTTGGGCTTGCCGCCCGCGATCGAAAGAGAGAGAGAGAGAGAGCGATCCGCATCCAGAAATAGGGGTACCACAAACGAACCGCGACCAGCATCATCACGTTTGAAGGAAAACCGTCGCATCCTTTTCAGCAGGGGTGGTTGAATAGGCCAACGCCCGCATACTAGGTGTACGCACACACACATACAACATGTATATGTATATATATATATATATATATATATATATGTATGCTGTATGTTCTGTTTATATTTACAAGACTGCATTGGCGCTACGCGCCATGCACTTTTGTCCTTGAAATTTAGCATGCAGGTGGACGGGCAGGAAGGTCAACCAGATAATTAAGCGATACCTTTTTAATGCCTGTTCCGGCATCGCCGTTATAACGATGTTATTCATCAGTCTTCCTTCCATGCTTCTATTTCTTAATTTTCGCCCTACCCTGCGAATTCTTCCCAATCCTCCTCAGCTCTATTTGCGGAGGCTCCTCCTTGGAGTCTCTGGGGGCTTCACGGAAGCTTTTGAGGCTTTCGTAAGGCCTTCTGGAGGCCTCTTGGGCGTCATTTGGGGGCCTTTGGGGGCTTCCTCGGGCCACCCTGCCTCCAACGGTCTCCCTGGACGAAGGATGCGTCGGAGGTTGTCTAGGGGCCATCTTGGGCCGTCATGGGGCTCTCTTAAGCCATCTTGGAGCCCTGTTGTGCCGTCTTGGGGCTCTCTTGGACTGCCTGGAAGCCCTTTCGGATAGTTTT